AAACTTATAGCAAGAGGGTTTCATGTGAGATTCTATCTCAGGTGACGCATCCTCCACCTCGATTATATATATATATCTTGTAGGCGTTATAAGTAAGAAGGATATGCTCACCTCGACCTTCTTTTGCCACCTTTTACCCCTACGATAACAGGGTATTAAAAGGCAGCACACAAAAGTTTGAGAATGGTACGCTGAGTCGCATTTCAAATTAAATTATTTTAATTGCGTTGCAATTATGAGGACAACAATGGTTCGTCCATTAATAAAAGCCAACAAAATCTGAATGAGAAATGGGAAATATGAAAATATACGAATGCGCCTGCAGCATGGCTAAAACACTCAACGCTCCCATTCAAACAAACAAACAAACACTCAAGCACTAACATTCACTTTGGAATTTACGCCGCCTTGACAGCTGAAAACGGGCTATGGTAATTTTCATTTTTTATATTATTATTATGTTTGTATTGGCTATTATTTTGGCTTATGTTTTGGGGTGGCTTCAATGACCTCCTTTTTTCATTTGACAGGCTAATTTGGGTCGCAATTAGCAAATGCTCAATGCTTAATTATGCATTAATTGCATTTAATGAGCACTTCCGCTCCAGGAATAATGAATAATGCGAAAAGTTCATGCCAGCCAAAGCAACCTCAGCTGTCCACCTCGCCCACTCTTTCTTTTGCCACCGTAATTTAAGGGTTTTATGATTGCGGACCGCTTAAGATTATTTATTAAGGGTAAACAACAAAGTGCTAAAATTTAACTGGAAACTTGCTCACCAAATTTATAAGATAAATACAACTCGCATTTTAAACATTTTTAGTTAAACATTTTTTGTTGCCAGTTTTTTTTTTTTAATTTTTTATGTCTCTTGACCCAGTTTGAGAGAGCACGCTCACTTGCATGCCCATTTACACATGCACACATTCACGTACAGTTACTGCAAAATATTTGCACACGCTTGTGCAACAATGGCAATTTTGATGACTCCATAGAGCTGCATACAAAAATACCGCATAAAGCTGACTACAACCAAAAAGTTATCAACGCACACAAAAACACATTCAGTGACACTGAACTGAGGTCTTTTTGTGTGGTGCCTTTTCGTGGAAATAGCGTGCACACTCTAACAGTATACTTTTATGGAGTACGATTCTATTTATTGCACAAATGATACCCAAAAAGCAACATCTAAATAGAATTTTATTAAAATCGCTTGTTAAAAAGTTTTTTTTGTGGGTTGAAAAAAGTTGCAAGCATTTTCCTCTCTAGTCAATCTCTTATTGACCCTTGGGCTTGTGGCAACGGAAATTGGTTGGACAGCGCGAAATAAAGCATGCAAAATGCTCGTCAATAACATTCAACAACTACAACAAAAGCCAATTTAAAGTTTGTTCTGCGGCAACAAAATCGAACAAAACAAGTCAAAGTGCTCTAGACGAATGAGCCCGACTAGGAAATACCCCGAACCCAAGCCTCAGCCCATCATTAGTCATACACTTCACAGATCTCAGCGAAAGTTTTAGAGTCAATAATGGATAAGGTGTATTCCATTCAGATTGAAGAACCATTTCTTTAAAATTGTGACTTTTATTGATGTGGATAAGCAACTTATCGATAAAGCTAAAATAAACTTGATCTGCGCATGTTTAATGATAACTATTTTTTAATAAATTTTGAAGTATAAATATAGAAGTATATAGTAGTGTTATAGTCGCTGAGGACGGCAATTGTTCACAAACAGGAATGACTAAAGAAAATGCTAAATTGATTCGGTTTGAAGATGCTTCCATCTGATTTTGTATACCCTTTTACTAATTTACATTATGTTTAGGGTATAGAAATGTATAAAATTAAAAAATAAATACAAAAACAAACTGTAATCAGCTTTCGTATTGAGCTTTCTCTTTGTATTCTTTTCTCTGCCACGCAATTACAAGTCCCACCCTTGCTGCCTGCCCTTACTGCCTGCACCTCCCCGGCCTGCCTGAACGCCTGTCCGGCTGCCTGCATTTAGACAGTTTGCATATGCGCGCAGCTGTGTTAAGATTCAGCGATAAGCTGCGTAAGCAAATCGAAGCGCAAATAAGCATGCAACATTTTTTGGATTGGCAGGCATTGGCAGAAAGGCGGAAAGGCGGAAAGGATTCGCGTTGGCTACCTTTCCTTGTTGGCAGCTCGGAAAGGACGTGTAGCATAAATTTGCCATAAATTTGCTAACAAGTGATTTGTGGCTGGGCGCCAAGCCAAGCCCCATCCACATCACCACCACCTCATGGCCATAAATTAAACGCGGCTTTTTATTTTGCAGATTTGGCATACATATATATATAAATATATATATTTTTTTGAATTTGTAATTTTTTTTTATTTTTGGTGTGCTTGTAAAAAAGGTAAAATGTAAACAATTATCTGCGAGTTCACAGCTGCAGCACAACCAACACACACATGCACACACTGCCAAACAAAGTCAAATACACAACCGCAGCAGCCGCAGAAACAGGCGCCACGCACACACGTGACAGGCAACTGAGATTTATGCGCCATATACACGCGCACCGCAAGCAAACATTCACACACACACACACACACATGCACATACACACACACACGCACCCACACTTATTGCAAACATGCCCAGTTACATCCACGCACACATAGAGAGTCTGAGAGACACTTTGCCAAAGGAATTCGCCTGCTTTTGATTAATTGCCGCAACATTTTATATTTTTTTTATTTTTATATTTCTTCCTTTTTCGGTGTGTTTTTTCCATTGGCAGAATCAGGCAGACACATATTTGCCTGTGATGGCTTCACTTCCACACCCCGAATCACACATCCCCACTACATACATTTGCCCCCGCAACACATTCCACTTTACGCTTTTTGCAACATTTTGCTTTAGCTGCATGGTTCAGGGTTTATTTACCGACACGTAACAGTCACAGACGCAGTCTGCAAGAACTTCAGCCATCATAAATATCATAAAAAACATAAAAAAAAAGAAAATAAAGCTAGAGACTGGCAGAGTAGGAGAGGAATGTGAATAGAGGAGTTAGGTAGATATATGGGCGATGCTAGCCCAGTTTGCTGTGCGCAGAACTTATGCGAAATTTATGACTCACACTTTGTGGGCCAATGTTGCAACTTGAATTGAATAGAGATATATTGATGGTATAACCTATTGCAAAATCTTGATAATAAATGACTATCGAGCAGCACTGGCATGCTTTTGTTGTTATTCCAACAATTCAATTGCAAATCTGCCAGACATCAAATATGCATGCAAAATAGAAAACATTTTCGGAGAAACCCTAAAAACAGGCAAAAATATTCCGTAACAAGAATAGGTGTATATATGTATTTTTCTATATGTTGTTTCTGGAAATGTTCTGTAGCAACTGTTGAATGGCTTTCTGTAAAACTAGAATTGTTCGTATTTGGCGCATTGCGTATACGCCCAATTGTACGCCTTGACAGCAATTTAAGCAAGTGTTTTTGGCCAATTTAAACTTAATTTCAACGTTTGCTCTTGTTTGCTCTTCATGTGCGTGTGTCAATATTTGCCACGAAGCTTTCTACATGTGTTTTCAGTTGCGATATTTTCTTGTTAATTTTTATTTTTTCTTTTGGTCCAATAAATAACATTTTCTATCAATTGAAAATTGATTGATGCACGAGCGTACATCAGGCTGTCGAAAAGAGCAGACACAAACCTATGGGACAAACCAAGTCCATCCCTTTTTCGTATTACTCTGTTTTGAAAATGACAGAGCCGCTTTTATATATTATATATACATTCAACTTAGCCTCCTCAAGTTATTTTATATTAAGCATGTAATTGTATATTTTTCTTTATTTTCGCACAAAGCCTCTTCAGTTTAAGAGTTACTCATTTACCAAAATCAAGCTCTATGAGTATGCTCCACAATTTAAATGCTAAAACTTTGCTGATAGAGAAATTTAATTTGTGCGAAATACAATTTGTTTGACATGCAAGTGACAGGTACAGTGACCGCTAGAAAGTTAAAACAAAAAAAGTATTTATTATTATATCACGTATAGCATAGAATATACCACAAAATGATTGTGCTTAAGATTTAAGCCGTTTAAAGTGGCAACTTTATTAACTGTCTCCAAAAACACAGAGTACCCAGCAGTTTAGTGCACACATTCTAACTTTTTTCTTTGGTTTTTTTCCATTTCTGGATTGCTTACCTTCTCTGCCTCTTTCTGTAGGCTACTTAGGCTATATATGAGCCCCAGAGCTAATATCTGTATAAGATTTGTGTGTGTGTGTGTGTGTGTGTGTATGTTGGTGAAGTGAGTGTTGCGTCTCGTGAAAAAACATAGACGATGTCGAAATCGAAATGATTAATGGTCATTTCAGATTAGCTAAAAGTCGACACACTTACTTTATACACACAAACACACACACCAACTGGAGCGGCATGGGCTGTAGGTGTAGGTGTGGGTGTGGGTGTGGCTGTGGGTGACGGTGACGGTGTGGGCGTAGGCGTGGCTTTTGCAGGGAAGCTCAACATGTTTGTCGCTTTTGCTTGTTGGTTTGCCTATTTACAGTTAAGCAGCCAATTTGAACTTTGAACCCTGTATCAATCAATCTGCTATTATGTTTATTATTGTTGTTGTTCCCATTTCCATTGTTGCTTTTTACACGTAATTGCTTTTTGATTTTTTTGAGGGCCATCTACAGTTTTCTACTTTTTTCTACCTTTTTTATTTGTTATGTATTCGATCTAGCAACGGGTCTTAACTTGTATCTTTTTAAAAAATTGCATCATCATCGTGTTGTCGTCGCCGCTTGATGGATTGACAAACATTTGTTGAGGACCTCAACGCACGAATGGCCAATACGATGATGCTAGCATATGTTAAAATATTTTGGGCCCCAAACCAAGACTAATGTCCTTGCTGCCCCCCTCTATTGTATTTGACTAATGGCGCCGCCTTTGGTTTATCTCTTTCCTTCTGCTTTTAGGTATCCTGGATACGCAAAAAGGATTATCATCTGCTTACGGTCGGCTTAACAACCTACAGCAGCGACGAGCGCTTCAGTGCGACGCACTTGAAACATTCCGAGGTGAGTGAGAAACTAATTTGCATTTTCGCCAGCTGCCGCCAAAGCGGCGTGCAGCATGCCAATTGAAAAACGCCATTGGCCAACATTGCGTATACGTGACAGAAATTCGCCAAAACTAATAGCGACATTCAAGCTTAAAGTCCCAGCTGCAGCTGTGCGTCTAATACATAATGCATAATACTCACATGCATATTATTTCCATGTTTCGTCTTCAACAGGATTGGACATTGCAAATTAAATTTGTGCAGCTGCGTGATGCGGGCGTCTACGAGTGTCAAGTTTCCACGCATCCACCCACATCTATATTTTTGCACTTGAGTGTTGTCGGTAAGTGGACAGCAAGAAGTTAGTTGACAAAAAATAGAGCACATTTTTGTTTTTGTATTGCTTACTGAACTGTGTGGTTAGTAGAACGTGTTTCTATGTAAGTTGGTATTATTAATTTATAACAGATATGTCAAATCGAAATCGAAAATCATTAACATCAATCATACAAAAAAATAGATTGTTTCTTTTGCTACCGATAGCTTATATTTTTAAAGTTGGAGTAATCAGCTTGTAGATAAATTTTATTGCGCTGCGAGATTGCGATTAATACAAAATTTATAAGTAAAGGAAAAACGTAGTAGTTTTTATACCCCGAAGACAATTCAAATGTATATCACTTTATTATAATTTGAAACTTTTGTTTTTAAAAATCTTTAAGAATTGTTAAAAACAAATGAAATAAAATAAACTAAAGAAAGACTGTAGCTCCGAAAAACCATTCTGGCCCAAAGCTATCTAAATCTAAAAATACTCTTTATTGCGGCTTTACGTGGCTTAAACCGTATTGCTTTAGCCGAGAAATCAGAAACAAATTTAAATGTCAGAATTTAATAGGATGCTGCCTTCTGCTCAAAGTTTGCATTAAGTGCTTTGCTTACATCATGAATTTGATGGAGGCAAGAAGAGGCCAGAATTCTTTAACTTTGTTTTCATAGTTGCTATCACGTAATTCCCTTGACTTCATGCTATCCTCAACAGCTTAAAAATTTGTAAAAGTGGATATAATAGTTATGTGGAAATGAATGTAACAGGCAGGCAGAAACTTCAAATGTGGAATAAAGGCTCTAATATATATTGACATATTTTTGATCATTAAGTTCAGGTCAGAAATACCAAAGTAAAAGTCCAATACATATTCTCATATTGATGTCTTTACCATTACTTGTCAAAGGCATTTTCTGCATAGTTCAGATTCAAGATTTAATATGCTCCTACAAGCCAATTGAACATTTTTTAAAAACATTATATAAATACCAGCTTCGGAATATTTCTGCAAGGATATTCAACCTACGCAAAAACGTTTTTTTTTTTCTTTTTTTACTTATGATAATTGTACGGTTTAAAAGCCTGAACCATTTGAGCTATTTACTCGCTGAAGCAACTCTGGTAACTCTGGCAGTGAGCATTGGGCACTGGGTCAACACGGAGCATCCGCTCGCTCACACAGCTTGCTCTTAATATCCATTCAACCACGTGCCTTGTTTTGCCCGATGCGCTCATGCTTAAATTAGAAATGTCCATATGCCAGTTGTCAGAGTTGTCAAGCGAAACAGCTAAGTCAGAAAAAAAAAAAGGAAAACAAAATATGCTGAAAATGAAAAGCAAAGAAATAAAAATGTATACCTGCCCAAATGGCAGCGACTCAGCAAAGTTGCCCAAAATAACGCTGTCGACGTGAGTGCACCTGTTCCTGTTGTTGTTCCTGTTGTTGTTGGTTCGGCTTCTCGGTTTCGTTGTTGTTGTCGTTGGCGCTGCCATGTCGTTGGCCTTGGCTAACGCTAACTGACACACATTATTCTGAATTTAACAAACAATTTACTTTGAATGTGGTGCGACTAATGGCGTTTTCTGCACAAAAACAAGACCCCAACACACATGCACATACACCCTCACACACACAAATACACACACACACACACACTCGTTTACTGGCCGAAACTGATGCGACAGCGCAAAAAAAAAGTATGTCTGCTACACATTTGACTAACGCCTGGCATGAATTTGCACACATGACGACATACATAATCAGATACATCGTTCCAGCTCGAGTTACTCGCATATAATGTAAGGCATATTTATGAGCACGGATTTTGCACAAGTAGTTAAGAATAAGTTTTTGTACGCCTTTATTATCGGATCGGATTTTGGCAATCCTCTATCTATAAGTGATTTTAGCGGGCGTCTATACAGAGTTAGGCTATAATATAAAATTACATTTATTTTCAAGTAAAATCTGACAAAATCTTCTGCATATATATTTAAGTGTATTATAAAAATTAAACTTTTTCTCTTAGTTTCAAAGTAATATTATGTCCGTCGTAATTCAAAATTTATTATTTGAAGCTAGCATCAAAGATGGTAAATTTTATTTTGAGTTTACTTTAACTGTTGTGTTTACTGTTTGAGCGCAAAGTTTGACTATCGAAGATTTTTGAACTGAACTTAACTTAATAAATTGTATAAGAGAAATAACCCTATCTAAGCATTTCGATAAGAGACAACCGTATAGCATATATGCCACTTGCGAAAGAGTAAAATGTCTGTTTTAGTTTAAAGCTCTGTGACACGTATTTGCATTTACATTTGATTAAATTTTGAATCTCTCATCTCCACTCGCCTCAACAACAAAACACGCATTCGCTGAACCACCACCAATATCCGATTGTGGCAACGGCAATTCAATTTCCAAAATGTCATTCGATTCGGTTAGAAGCGCGCGCCGAAATATCAGGACCGCCCATACGTTATCTGACGCCGGGTTCCACGCTGCGCCTGCAATGCCGTGTTGTACAGAATACGGAGGCATCCGAGTACATATTCTGGTATCACGACAATCGTATGATTAATTATGACATTGATCGGGGCATCAATGTGTCAACCGAACCAGGTGAGTCTGTCTTCTATTCCTTACACTTCGCCTTACCCCCTTTCTTTCTTTCTGTTGTCCCTGTAACCAACCAATGCATTCTTATGTGCATTTCATTGCAGACTTTCAATCATCGGAGCTTACAATTCAGCGCACCCGTCGGGAGCACTCGGGCAATTTTACTTGTGTGGCCAGCAACACGCAGCCTGCCAGCGTTTTGGTACACATTTTCAAAGGTGAGTACCATTTAGCATTGCAACTGTGCGTATACTTAATGCATTTCCACAACCAGCAGTTTTTCAACCGGTTTGTAATTAATAAAATGGATTCTTACATAACTAACTTCAAGACTAAGTGGGTTAGCTTAAATATGAGAATCAGAAGTGAAAAAGAACATCAGAAAATGTTTAATAAAACTGTTAATTTAAATTTAAATCAAAATTCTACCTGTGAGTTAATGTTTTCCGCTTTTAACAACTTTAACACAACAATATATGTAATTGAATGTAGTGCGAAATCAGCAACTTATTTTGTTGTTGATATTTATTGATATCTTGCTTTTCTTGTTATTGTTTTCAGAGTTTCAATTATTATTTTTACATTTTCTGTAGGATCAGCAGATAAGATTAAATTGCCTATTATGTCAGATGCGAGTATTTAAAATTTTTTTCACAAGAGGTTAAAATGTACTCAGTTCGCTGCAATTGTATAGCTTGAAAACGAACAAAGACCGTTGCAGAATTTGTGCAGCTTTATTGTTATTTTCGGTATTTCAAAATTTTATTTGCTGAATGTTCAGTTGCCACATTTAATTAAATAAAGTGAGGCAGAAATTCAATTTAAAATGGTAAAATTTACAAAATCAAATTTAAGCTGAATATAAACGAAAAAGGAAAACTACGATCAATTTTGTCCTCTGTATATAGTATATACTCACGTACAAGTATGACAATAGCTGTATCTGTATCTGTATCTGTATCTGCATCTGCTGCCGTATTGTGGTGTATGTAGTATTTTTTACAGTTCATATATCAAGTAGAAAAAGCCAACAACAAAAAGAGGGAGAACAATAAAAGTAATTTATGAAAATTACAGAGCCACAGGCGTGCGGATTAAAAATGCCTGCACCACCGAGGCAACCATTAAAGTCGGGCCATAAACACTAAGCCACAAACACATACCAGTGTGCTGTGTAGGTGTAACTGGAGGGTGGAGCAGAGCTCATAACTTATAGGGCCAGCATAAGTTGTAGAGCAAAAGTTGGGGACACTGAAAATGCTCATTAGCATTTGTTTTTTCACCTGTGTGTACATGAATGTATGCTTTGAGTGTGTGTGGGTGTGGGTGTGTGGACCTTAATTAATTTGAGCACATTTTCTCTTGATTTTCATATGAATTTTTTCTCATCTCTCTACTTTTCTACTACTCTTATATTTTATACAGGCGATAATCCAGCGGCTATGTATCACGGACATGTGGGTGGCTCGACAAAGACGACGCAGCGCCAGCTGCATAATGTTATGGTAATCATTGCCATCGGCTATCGGATATTTCACACAAGTGTCTACATGAAGATTGTCTAAGGGGCAAACACCAATTAATACAACGCATTTGTAACTAATTCATCAAAGCAGTAAAATTATAATTAAGTAATGCGTAAGTAAATTCCATTTGCCTCTTCAAGCGATCATTCCATAAGTAAGAAAACATACTCGTATAGTAATCATCGATTGAACAGCTCTTAACTAACTAAGCTCCAAACTTACAAATGTCAAAACAAAATTCTCTTTTGAGCTGCAAGTGTGTGTATCTACTTTCATATTAGTGTACGAGCGTGTGACTATATATATATACATATATAGATCACTTCGGGATAATTCTTAGAGTTTCTAATTTAAGTTTCAGTTGCTAGCTTGCATTGTTGTTGAGGCATGTTAAAGAGATTGAGCAGCGCTTTATCATTCCTATGAAAATCAATTTATAAAACTCCAATAACTTCAAAAATCAAATAAAATACTATCTGTGCATTTATTACTTGAACAGGTATTTAAACCGAAAAAAGAAACACGAACACATTCAACTAAAAGCTGGCAGAGCTTTTACGTAAGTGATTTTAAGTCAACTTGAGCATAATATCGGCATTAAATACTAGCAATAATATTAAACAAATTAATTACAAATAAATATATAAATCCAGTTAACCAACAATTTAGTACGTTTTCTTTACAAATTTTGAATTTATTTAATAAACAAATTGTACATACCGAAAATATTGAATTGGTAATAAATTACAACTTATCTCCAATATAAGTTCAACTAAATTTGTTAATCATATGTTTCGACAATGCTGTAAACTGTTTAGTTATTCATTCAATCTAGTCAAGTAAATGTTTGAGTATAGGTTATTTGCCAATATGCAAAAAAAATATAATTGAAGACAAATTTCAAAATCATTGTTGGTTACAAACTAAAGCAAACTAAATTTTTAAAGATAGCCAGAAGGAAGAAAAATTAAAATTAAAAGGAGACTTTTGACCATGTTTAAAAGTTGTTAATCAAAAGAACAAACAAAAACAGCAGCAAGGAACAGAGTAATCAAAATAAACTATTATCTAGCCTAAGAAATATTTAGTATTTTTTAACAATGCGCAAATCTTTTAAGCAATCGAAAAGAAGTTCAGTAAAGTACGCCCCAAATTTGCAGTGTAAATAATAATTTAATTAATGTGTATTATAAAAACAAAAAGAAAACCATATAAAAACTAAAACAAATAAAAAAAAAAAACCAAATACAAGAAATGCATTGAAATACATAGTAATAGTTTTTAAGTATGTGTAGTTAAATGTAACAAAAATTACAGAAATCAACCAAATGGAGAAACAAATAAAACATAATGAAATTATGCAAAATATATATGTAAATCTCGTTTCGATCTTCTTTGCTGATTGATTTATGTTGTTAATATTAAAGCTTAGATTTTGATTAGTTTTGCAATCTCAAGTGATCCCATCGGCATACACAAAAAGCACGCGACTTTCTGGTGTACATATTGGCTTATGCCTAGCCCGACAATGGCCTGGTAGAGGAAGCAAATGACGGGGAGTCAATGGGTAGCTCATTGTTTACACCGCCAAGCTACTGCCAGCCGACAGACATCAGCATCTACAGCAGCTACAACAGCATCAGCATGAGCATCAACTGGCAACGAAGCGACAGCAAGAAGTGCAGCTCATTTCTCTTCTTGCCATTTTCTGTGCCGCCCCGTGACTTCCTCTTCCTCTTCCTCTTCGCCGTCTCGCTTTCGCTCATTGCCTCAGTTAATAAAACTAAATTGTGTGCCGAGAATGATGACAGCGTGGCGACAACGCCGCTGACAATGGGAGCAACATGGCCAGCCGCAGCAGCAGTATCAGCATCTCACGATGACGATGCTGATTACGTGTGGCAAGCTGTCAGTGAGCTTGTGCTTCTCCTTCATCATTTCTGTCGTTGCATGCAACCGGCTAAATACACTCAATTGATGCCTGATTTACGGTTGACGGTAAATGCAAGTTGGCAGGGGTAGGGTAATGAGGCGTGAGATTGCAAAACACCATATACAGAACTTAAAAGTTCCAAGTCCAACGAACTTCGCAAACTCTGACACAAACAGAATATGAAAAATAGTTGAATGAGAGAAGCTTAGGAAAACATATATACAAGGCAACAATTTTATGAAAATAGCATGCAAAATATCTAATATCTGTGATTAAAAATATTCTTTTCCACTTTTTTTCTATTATTTCCTATAATGATTTAAATGTATTTTTGTGATAAAAATGAAATATATTTAAGTGTCAAATCCAGTTTATCCTTTGTTCTATTGTTAAGAGGCAGCTTTGCAGCAAACAGAAATAAACTACTTCCGCAAAGAAACGAACGTCAATTAAAAGAGGAGATACAGTTGAAGAAAAGTCAATAACGAAATAGATATGAGTTTTGTTTGCCAAACCTTGAGCTTAAATGAATTGCCTTATTTGGTCTGAGCAGACAAAATCTACATTGACAAACGAGGCGCATAAAATGATTTGCATTCCCAAACCGAGCAGCGAAGCCCACCTTCCCCCACATTCAACAACAAGCCACATCCAAAAAATAAAAAAATAGAAAACCAACACGAAATGCACAAATAGTTGCTGGAGGCATAAAAAAAAATAGGGGAGGATACAGAAAAAACGAAGCAGCAGCAGTAGCAGCAGCAGATTGTGGCAAAGTGTTTGTGAATGTGTCAATAGCCGAAAGGCAATTGCACCAACAAAAATAGTTAACAGCTCAGAACCAAAACACACACACATAGAGCACACAAGCTGGCAACAGTTTAAACATCCAAACACATATGAATATGTTGCTAATATGTGCAAAAGTATTTATCAAAAGCAGAGCACACACAACACACCACAACTCTGATGTATGCACATTGAGGCTGCCAACGGCAAAGAGCGCAGCTCTTTCTATGCGGAAGCGAGTCTTTTCAGTTCTTTTCAATCCGGCAGCGGCAGAGTTTTAGCTATGCAAATTTTACGTATTGATTGAGGTCGCATTCATTTATTGAATCTGAGCGGCAAATAAGAGTTTGCCACACAGTTGCAAGCATCGACAACGCCGCGAGTCAATAACAAATGCAATGCAATCAAAAGCCAATTTCATGCGACTCCTTCACCCTCGAACGAATCCTTTATACAACCTCAACATGGGGCACTTGCTGATTTAATTTGTGCATAACCAATTATGGCTGAATTACGTATTTATGAATACAAATGTTGAATTGAAAATAATTGCTCAATAGATTATCAAATCTTAATTTTTTTTGTTTTGTTTTTTGTTTCCGTATTTTGCGGCAGATTGAAACCGAACAATATTTGCATTTAGTCAGTTTTTGGGTTGACAGTTTTGCATAGTCGACTAAGCAGCGGAGCAAGTCAGGCGTGAATTTTAGCCACGTCAACATTTAATTCATTCCAACGGGGCCTAAGGGAAATTTTATAAATGCTCACATGCATCAGTGTATGCGTGTGAGTGTGTGTGAGTGTGTGTAAGTGTGTGTAAGTGTGTGTGATTGTGTGTGGGTGCGTGTATTGTTATTTGGCTGTCGGTCAAATGCGCACACATAATGCCCGAATGCCACGCCCACTTGGCCAATGTAGCAGGAGAAGCATCAGCAAAATCCATTGTGCTGAGCTGTTTGGTGCCTGAGCTAAGCTGAGCTGCTTGATGCCTGTCGTAAAAATTCCAATTTAGTTTCCAATTGCTTGACTTAAAGTGCGCCATTTGCGCATTAAAATTGTCTGCGTGTGTGTCCTTGAGCGCGCCTGTAAGTGTTTGTGTGTGTGTGTGTGTGTGTGTGTGTGTGTGTGAAAGGCACTTCATAATCAAGTTAACGACGCACAATTATGCTACAAGCTGACAGTTTGGGCGCGGCCCATCCAAATGCAAGGCAAAGCAATTTTCGAGACGTTGCTCATACGACATGTAAGCACGCCCACTCCGAGAGTCCGTCGGTGCGACGCTGCCTTCTTGCCATTACAGGACACTTTACATTTGTTCCTGTGCCCAAGTAATTTAACATGACAGACACGTACAAGTGAAAACGGCCTGTTGGAAACGTTTTGTCAATGGTTTTATTATGGCCACGCAAATGAAATGAAATCGATAGTCGATTGCCGATTGTCGATTGTCATTTCGCTGAGTTTAAAGACTGGTTGCACTCAAGTGGAGTTCGTGCCAAAGTCCTAGAAGTCCTCAGTGAAGTACATGTCCTTCCCTGAGGATTCATTAAATGTGAAATACGAGCAGACAATTAGCTAAAACTTGAACTTGATTCATTGATTGAAAACAAATTGAAGGTGTAGGAAATTGGTAAGAGAAGACGACTTTATATATTTATTACTATTACTGCATGTACTTGAGCTAAATTAACTTCAATTGATTAATGAGCACTGCGATTTCAATATTCACACTAATTACAAATGTTTTCAAGAGAGTTGAAATTTCAAATTTAATATTATTAGAAAGTTAATTGTGCCAATTGCAATCACAAATCAAAATGCGCGAAAGTATTTAAAAAATTGAGTTTAAAAAATTGGGTCTATGACATTTTGCTTTGACTGTGAAAATAGTAGGAGAATGTGAGCTAAATGAGCATATACAAAAGCAACCTCTTTTAATCCCCTTGCATACGAGCACAACGACTAATTGCACTGATTAACATTTAGTGCTTCCAATCAATTACCTTTGTTAGTACACGTAGAGAGTAAACATTCAGTCATGATTTGCTCTACAGTTCTAATCTGTTTCAATTGAATTTCAGAGTGCACTCGAATGGATTGATTTGCTTTCCATATAGGCATAAATGCCTTTTGTGCAATAATCTATACGATGTCATCGCAAGCGAGAGCATTGCATGAATTACTCAGGTTCAAACTCCGGTGCTAACCAAGTAATAATTGAAAACGTTCACACTACACTACACCATACACACAAATACCGCACACACACTTCAGTGTATCTAAGTGCATCTCAATAACAGATTAAATGGACACACATAGGCACTAAAGGAAAGCAGGATACGGAACACGATGAAATGCATGGGGCTGATATGTTGAGATTTTTGTTAGCTGCAAATAGAATAATATCTAAGCGTAGCATAGCACAGCAGAACTGACCAGGCCAACTGGAGGCAGAACTGACCAGGCCAACTGGAGGCAGAACTGACCAGGCCAACGGGAGGTAGAACTGACCAGGCCAAGTGGAGGTCATCCGATTGAAACTCATTACCATTGGGGACTCGGGGA